ATGAAATCCCATGTGGTTAACATGAGGCAATGCCATATACTTTGATCCATTTTTTAACTTTAATATGATGTTGCATTTTAGGGAAAACCCAGTATCATTGGATGGAAAACCCAATGGTGTATTTGGAATTAGATTCCTTATAAGAGCCTGTTTTTATATTACAGATATACAAATTTTATTTAATTTATAAATATCTTTTATCAGATTGTGGGAATGCTTGGATGACATCCAATTATGTGAGTCATTAGTGGACTAATGATAGGTTTTGCTCATTATATAGGATTAACAGTTTGGTGACAACTTTTAATCCTAATTAGCTGCACTTAAGGGAATTAAGGTAGGAGTTACACTTGGATCTCAATTCTTATAGACCATGAATGTGAGAGTTACAAAATAAATATATTCTCTATAGAATGGGGTTAACTCCTCTAGAAAAGGTAAAAAAATATAGAAAAATAGAGATCGAAGGTGAATGAGATTCACCAAGGATGACTCTCAAGGTTGTATGTCACCGCGTGGGTTAGTCTATAGGATTTGGTATGGAATTCAAGTCCTTTATGTGATATAAGAACAGATCCAAGTAAGTTTTTTTATTTTTTATTTATTTTATTTACTTACTATTATTTTTATTGAGACTAAAAATGGTATCAGAGCGAGGTTAGAAAATTTGTTGAAAGAAAGAGATATAGAGACAACTTAGTTTGGTTGTAGAAAGGCATTTAGCCCCACAGTGATGTGCATGATAATATTAACACAACAGCCACAACTTACTATTTTGTGAAACATTAAATTTTTTTTTGTTGCTAACTAGAAGCCATTTGGCTTTTGATCCCAAAAGATCTCTTCTTTTTATAATAGAATAAGGGATTTAGAGTTGGCTTCCCTTCTCCCATTTACCTCAACTATGGATGAAGTTATAGATTTTTCTGCAAGGTCGAGGTCTTATATTTCATTGAGGACTGAGGCTTTGAGAGAGAGAATGTTCCAGGGTTGGTTAGATTGATGCCAACTCTTAATGGAGTTTCGAAGAAGTTGAAGTTTCCTTTGAGCCCTCTATGAGCTTGAGCTCGACCATCGGTGCAGTGACAATTGCCCCTTGCGGCCTCTAAAATCCCCAAAACCTTTACTAGCCCTCAGAGTTTCATTGAAACTCAATGAGCCACCAGGTTGAGACAATCTTTACTAGCCTTTAGGGTTTCATTAAAACTCAATGAGCCACTAAGGTTGAGGCTTGTTACAAAGATGCAGTGTTGGCTTGAGAGGTCACACCGTTGGGTGTTGTTGTGGCGGACTTCATTCTTCTCCATAAAGAGAAGCAGCATGAGAACGCTAGACAGAAAAAGTGAACTTAAAATGGCTATTTTGCCTCCCAATATAACATTGAATTTTTTTTTGAGTTTTCCCTATGAGGATGGGAGATGTCCGTAGCTGCAATGTCCAAAAATAAATAAATAAAAGGAACTCCTGTGAGTTTCGTTTAAGGACCACGGCTAAAATTAGAGAGTGTTTCAAAATAATTGGTAAGCTCCAATTAGAAAAATATTTTTTTTTGGTAAGTTCTTTATTCCCTTAAATTGTAAATTTTTTTCAAATCTTATTTTATCTAAATAGCATGAAATCAATGTACTTTGGATATGAAAAGTATTTGGAAGGTTTCTATTACAAAGTTTTTATGGTAAGTTATTTATTGCCTTAAATTATAAATTTTGTTCATATTCTATTTTATCCAAATAGCATGAAATCAATGCATTTTGAATATGAAAAGTATTTGGAAGGTTTCAATTACAAAGTTTTAGTTCTTTATTGCCTTAGATTAAAAATTCGTTCACATTCTATTTTATCTAAATTGCATGAAATCAATGCACTTTGAATATGAAAAGTATTTGAAGGTTTTAATTACAAATATTTTATGATAAATTTTTTATTGCCTTAAATTAGAAATTTGTTCACATTATATTTTATGTTAGTAGCATGAAACCAATGCAAATTGGTGTGTGGTCTTATTTCAAAACATGAGTCTCTCTCTTTTTCAAAATTTAAGTTTCTCTCCCTACCTAAAGATAAGTAAGTCTCTCTCTTCAATGAACACGAAGGACATATTCATTAGCTTTTCATTTACACCATGCGATATGAACCACATGAACACCATCAACCCCATGTCTATGAACATAGACATCATCCGAAAGTTACGTTGATACTGCAAGACATCATTTTATATTTTAGTTAAACCTCTTAATACACAAAAGGCAGCTTGCGTAATTTTAGGCCAAGCTCAATATTCATTCATCTAATCATTTGTATGAAAACATATAGAGAGGAAAAGAGAAATACACTCTCTCATTTGCCATGTACGAAAGAGAAATTTGGTGTTCACTATTTACTTTTTTATTTCTAATACAGCCCTCTAGCAAGAATACATATTATGACAAGACAACTATTTATGTAAAAAAATACTTGCTTTGAAATATTTTATGGTGATCAATGCTTATGAATATTCCAAGTTCAACAATATATGTATATTTGTGATAATATTATTTTTCCTCCTTTATTTTTTTACAAGATTATGCATTACAACATCCTTGGAAAGAGTAAACCTATTGGCAAGTTGCATGGGGTAATTTGCATGGGGCAATGCCATTTATATGGCTATAGAGGCCAGGAAATCTAAGTGTGGTGTTTGACTACACTGACTGTGTATATAAAAATACCATGTAGAAAGCATGAGGCAATGCCATGCACAATATGTCAAATGGCTTTCGAGCCAAGTAAGAGTTGTTTTTCCCGAATTTTTATTTATTTATTTGTCAATAATGGTACAAAAGCCATATTGAAGCATATGTGAAATCCCATGTGGTTAACATGAGGCAATGCCATACATTGGGATCCATTTTTTAGCTTTAATAGGATGTTGCACTAGAGGGAAAACCCAATGTCATTGGATGGAAGACTAGTGGTGTGTTTGAAATTAGATTTCTTGTAAAATTTTGTTTTTATATTATAGATATACAAAGTTTATTTAATTTATAAATATCTTTTGTCAAATTGTGGGAATACTTGGATGACATTCTATTATGTGAGTCATAAGTGGACTAATGGCATGTTTAGCTCATTACATAGGATTAACAGTTTTGTGACAACTTGTTAATCCTAGTTAGCTGCACTTAAAGGAATTAAAGCAGAAGTTATACTTGGATCTCAACTCCTATGGACCATGAATGTGGGAGTTACACAATAAATGTATTCTCTATAAAATAAGGTTAACTCCTCAAGAAAAGATAGAAAAAAAAAATATAGAAAAATAGACATTCACCAAATATGGCTCGTAAGGTTGGCTGTCACCACATGGCTCGATCTATAGGATTTAATATGGAACCTCAAGTCACTCGCGTGATTTAAAGACAGATCTGAGTAAGTTTTTTATTTGCCATTTCATTTATTTATTATTATTATTATTGGGACTAACAATAGGCTCAATCCGCAAAATTATTTTTGGACATTTTGGAGCCATCTTGATGGCTTGTTTTTAGTGAAATTGCAATTGATTGCTGTTGATATCAGTAACAATCAATTACTAGTTTTCAGCAGTAATTTTGATTCAATTAATTGAGTGATGGCTGTGCAATTAAGTAGCAAATTGATGCGTATTGTGTGTAACGATGTTCACATGAGCTAGACCCTATTTGATGACATAACATTGTGATAAATTTGGTTCATCGAGCTCATACATTTGCTGTCACTGTAGACAACACAAATGTGTTGAATTTAATTATAAAAAATGATCAGATTAGACATAGATAAGCATATGTACCATCAATTCAGCGCAACATGATTGCATTTCTCCATTATCATATATAAATATCAAAGCCTTATCTTCTCTACAGTGCATGACAGGGGCCCAACATATTGGACATTATTCCAATCAAATCAAGGAAGTATGAGAAGGACAAGGAAAACTTTACTGAAAAGCTTAAATTAGAAAACGGCCATAGATATTAAGAACAATTAATAATTGCAATAATTTTATGCTTTACATAATGTACCATCCATTTAGCTCTTATGATGATTCAAAATAAACAAACAACTTAAAAACATCGTAAACTACATTAACTTATAACAAACCAACAAATAAAATAGCAATTAACAACATGCATGACTAAAGCATCAATGTACAAATAATCTATTGTGAGAGAAGAATGAGCAGCAAAAGATCAACTAAAAAATAAATAAAAACAACAAATAATGTAGAAATCAACCAATATGATGACCTTAATCATCAAAGAATAAATAAACATCAACGGAGAAATAATTAGCTATGAGAAAACAATAACTAGCTATGAGAAGGTTATTCTTACATCTCTTACAACCAGTGGAGTGACTACGAGTTTCAGTATGGTGAGAGATATCATTATTGCCGAACACAATGCCTACGTAGTATTTGCTGGCAAAAGAGTAATTGAAGAAATATTGACTAAGAAAATACCTGATGGTTTGCAGCAAGTAGCTGAGTATTCATTCCATAAGGGCTTATTCAATTCAATCGTCCCACGTAATCCTTTAAAAGGTGTTCAACAAAAAAATCAACAATCAAATTAGCTATCAGAGAAGATTGAGCAGTAAAATATAGCAGTGAACGACAAACGTGACTTTAACCACCAATGAACAAATAATTGGCTATAAGAAAATGATACCCGGCAAAAAATCAAAAAACAAATTAGCTATGAGAGAAGAATTAGCAACAAAAGATCAACAAAAATATAGACATGAGAGAAGAATGAGAATTAATAGATAAACAAAAAGTTAGATATGAGAAAAGACTGACAAGCAAAGAGTTAACCCAAAAATAAAAAGAAAATAATGTAACATCCATTTTATTTAACGTTGTTTAAAATTTACCCAAAACATACCGTTGTTACATATATACCCTGTTTATTTTGTGGTTCCCAAATTGCCCATATTTTGGATTGTGAAGATCCAAAATCAATACAAATACAATGGGGGGAGAGAGGGTAGTGGGTTTTTTTTTTATTGTTTCCCTCACAATTGTTTTTCAATTTTTCATATGCGAATTTAACAAAAATTCAAGATCCTCGGTTGGAAAATGTAAATTTAGGATTTTTAGAATCCAAAATTTTAATTTTAAAGTAAATTTTGGATTTTTTTGAAATCCAAAAATGTTTAAGGATGCTAAAATGCAATTTTCGGATTTTGAAAATCAAAAAGTTTAATTTACAAATAAATATCAGATTTTCAAAATCCAAAATTATTGGATACTAAAATGCAATTTTTGGATTTTCAAAATAAGAATTATTTTTCAAATAAATTTTAGATTTTCAAAATTAGGAATTTATTTTTCAAATAAATTTTAGATTTTCAAATCCAAAAATATTGGGAGATGCTAAATTGTAAATTTTAAGATGTTGAACATCTGAAAGTTGGCAATTTGGTCATTTATAAAAATATTGCGAGGTATTATTGTAATAACGGGTAGAAAATGGGTGCATATATAATAACAGAAAAATTAACAATGAGATTCAAGTAACGTAAAAAAAAAAAAAGTGACATAATTTTTCTAAAAAATAAATCAACAAATAAATGGCAATGAATAAGATGCATACTTCAACCCAGTGTTGTTAGGACCGCACTAGTGATTGAACTGGTGAGGACACTAGCCTTTACCAAAGATGGAACTTAGTTTTTATGTTTGATAAAAACAAGTAAGGAAAATTACAAAAAAAAAACGAAAAAAAAAACAAATATCCCAACCTAACTTTTTTTTTTCTCACTTTTTTTTAACCAAACTTTTTATATAAATACACCTATATACAAAAATCATTTTGGTAAGAAAGATTGCAGGACCACCCTACGACAACCATCACACCAAAACTGGATCTATCAGACCGCAACTGAGTACTATCAGACCGCCCTTTATATAGTCCTCGAGTCTGGAATCCAGTAACATCTAATGTTAGATTGCCCTTTGCAGTAGCCTGATAATAAACATCTACTATTGGATTGCGTTTACCCTTTGCAATGGCCCGATAGTAAACATCTACCGTTGGATTGCTCTTTACATAGTGTTTTACTGCCTATTTTGTTGAATTGCTCTTTACATAGTGTTTTACAGCCTATTTTGGCAGGAGGGAGAGGAGAGTGTGACTTAAAATAAAAAGTCAGTGAGGATAGTTTAGATATTTTTTTATTTTACTTTTAAGGTATTTATATAGAAAATATATTTTGTAGTAAGTTACCAAAGAATGTTAAGATAAATGTAAGTTGCATTTTCCCAATCAAGTAAATTTAAAAGTTAACGGAAACGGTAAAAGTACGTTCGGCACCCCGACTACCTTCGCGAAGAAGAGGGTATTTGCTTGCCCCGACTGCCCTAACCACTAAGCAGAGTCCAACTCGCGCCTTCTCTTTGCTCCTACGAGCCTCCTCACAAAGGTATATCTCAGTTTTTTCTCTCTCTGTTTTTTCTCTATACCACGGTTTTTTTGCTCTGATTTTTTCTTTATACCACGGTTTTTTTGCTCTGATTTTTTCTCTGGGTTCCGAACATGGTGAAAATGGATCTAGGGTTTTTTCTTAATATTGTTTTGTGGTAAATTGTTCTCTGTAGGGAAAAAATAATTTGGCTGTTTTTTTGGTAAACAGATCTACCTAAAAATCTTTCCCCTCATCCCTCCCATCAAGCTTTTCTCTTTCCACTCCAGCTAAATTCACAGTTCTCTCATTTTCCAATTCTTCTTTTCATCTGGTTTCTTCTACTACACATGTGACAATCATAACCATTTGGTGTCGCCTTTTTCTTTTTTATTTTCCTTTTTGTGACTGCTATCATCTGAAAATGAGATAATCAATGAGATTGCTTAAATTTGATTCTAAATTTGATTCATGGTTAGCTTTTTTTTTTCTTCATTAATAGTTCTTTTGTTGGTCGTGAAGAAAAGAAAGAAAAAAAATGGAGGTATTGCTTTCCTTTTTGCCATAGGTTTAGATTAAGCTTACTTTTTATTTTTCAATATCAAGCATAGGGTTTTATCTGACCATTGAGAATGTAGTTATAGAATCAGCGAACAAAACAAAATAGAACTTGTTATAGATTGACTGGAATTTTTTGCAAATAACAACGTTTCTCAAGGAAATCAGCAGGATATTTGTTGAGTTTTTTGTGGAATTTTAGTTCAGGAAATGGTTGAAGAATCCAATAGTCAATTTAATTAATCCTGACTATTTGGTGTATAGAATCGTTTTTCTAGGGAAAACAAAACAAATCATTGCCATGAAGTTTGAATGAGAGAAAATTGATTATCTTTGAAGATTGAGGTGAATTTTAGTTATGATTGTGATTGGGGTATTTGTGAAATATTTAAAGGTTTATTGTTTCTAAAGTTTGTATAACTCTTTCATATGACTGAACTATCCAAAAAAGAATGTCAATGTTGCTGACCCTTATAATGTCAATGCTGCTCACTATTATACAGTTTGTAGTATGTTATCAGTCGAAACTGGCCCTTCATATAGTTGTATTGGACTTATTTTCCTCACGAATGAATATATCGATAGTAACATAGCTTTAGATGTTTGATGCTCTCTTTTGGTCTTTTCTAATGATGTTTGATAAACACATAATAATAATAATAATATGGTTATTTTGTCTCTGTGTGTAGACTCCAGAGTAAGGCCTGTTATGTAACTGGCTAAAGAGTATTTTGTCTGTGTGTGTAGACTACATTGTTATTTTGTCTGTGTGTGTAGCCTACAATGTAAGGCCTGTTATGTAACTTAGAACTTCTTTATATTCCGGCAGATTATCAAAGATAGAGACCCATAACTTCTTTAGCATTCTAGCAGGTTATCAAACACAGAAACCCATAACTTCTTTAACATTCTAGCTGTTTATCAAACACAGAAACCCATAACTTCTTACAATAACTTCTTTCTTCTCAGCAAAGAAGAACTTCCAATTTTTAGGGAACATTTACCTTCCAGTTATCAAACATGCCTTTAGAGTAATCATAAAAAAGCTGCTGAAAGTTGAGAATCCTTGTTTGGTAAGTTGTATGTGAAAATGGAGAACGGTAGAGATTGGGCAAATAGAGATTAAGAGGGGAGAGAAATCGTGAGGTTAGAGAAATAAAAATAGGACAAGGGAGGTCTCACATTTCACCCTTTTTCTTGGGAAATATTCGGGTGGACTGCAGCTTTCCCCAAAATTGGGGGTAAACATGGAAAAGCAGAGAAATGAGGGCTCTGTTGTTACCATTCCCAAGCAGGGGAATCGTGATAACTAAAAGACCAGGTCGTTTATTTCTTGTTTTCACAATTACCAAGCAAGGCCTAAGTTGAGGGAAATTTATCATTTCACGAAATGCATTGGGATAATGGACTATTTAATAATGAAAAAATATATCATAAAATTATACTATTTATTTTTTGGCACAAGGATGTCACAATTATTATCAACAATTAGATGTGAAATCAGGCAGCTGAGGGTGTATGATTGATTGAGCATAAGGATCAAAATAAACTTTCTTAAATTGTGTGATACACCTCTTGTTATCAGATTTCTCATCTAATGGATGAAGACGATTCTAATGTATTTGTATGAAAAATAATTGGGCTTATAGTATGTATTTCTGTAAATAATGTAGCCATTTTACTATTTAATTTCAAAATTCCATCAAAATTCGTAAGTTGGTACAGTTAAAAATAGTAAAATATTAAAGGAAAAAGTTTATGTAGAGTTGAGGCTCTAAACAATCAAATTAGAGCCCACATCAAAAATTTCACTAGAAGAGGTTGTTTTGATACCCAAATATCCTCAAATTGATTATCTCGACATCAAGATGCATGGACATGAGAAAAAAATGGATTTCAAGTTTTGGAAATAGTGCATCTTGTAACACATTTTTGGACCGTCAATTTTCAAGATTTTCATAGATATATAAAATTTTTTATTTGGGGTTCTTATGACGATGATCATACGAAGTTTCACTTGGTCACCCCAATCAAAATGGGTGGGCTGGGCATTAGAAGATTAAAATGTATGAACTGGGCTCTTCTCTCGAAATGGTGGTGGAGAATCGTTCAAGGTTGGAGAATCGTTCAAGGTCCCAACCATCTTTAGATTCAGGTCCTGGCAGCCAAGTATGGTTCCCATCATATCTCCCATCTTATAAAAAAGGCAGGGGTAGTGAGTTTACATCACAAGTCTGGAAGGGCATTTAAAGTTGTAAGAATGTGGTGGTTGGCAATATTAGATGGCTACTGGGCAGTGGGAAGGATATTTTCTTTTGGTTCAATAGATGTCTTGGTGATAGTTCTCTCTCTATTCTTTTTCCTGATCTTTTTTCTAAATTGACATCTCCTGCTGCAAAAGTTGAGCACTTATTCTCTTGCAATCAATTTGGGGCTCTTGTCTTGGATATTGAATGCACCTATAACAAATTGCCTGATAGTGTGATTACGCAGCTTGAAAGTCTCCTTCTCCTGCTTGAAGGTATATAAGTCTCACCTAATAGAGTTTATATGGTCATCTGGGAAAGTGAAAGCGATGGTATTTTCTCAGTCAAATCAGCTTATAGACTTCTTTTCCATGATCGACTGCAGTGGTCTTTTGAGGGCATCCATGCAATCTGGAAATGGCCTATCCCCATAAAGATACAAGCATTCCTTTGGGTGGCGTTACAGAATAAATGCCTTACTCTAGACAATCTTCGTATTCGGGGTAAAATCCTTCTTAATGCTTGTCTTTTGTACAAGATTGTGGAAGAGACTGGTTGTTACCTTTTCTTACACCGTTCTTTAGTTATGCAATCTGGAAATGGGCTTTTAGTTTGTTGGGTTTCCCTCTTATACTTCTGGCAAATTTGATTTCTATTATTGACAATCTTCAAATCCCCAACTTACTCTCTACAGGACTAATTATTTGGAAAATCCTTAGAAGTGCTATTCTTTGGCATATTTGGTTGGAAAGAAACAAAAGAAGTTTTGATGGCTTATGTTTGGATCTTCACAATATCAAAGGAAAAATTTTGCAATCTCTATGGGACTGGTTTTGTTGGAAGTGTGGCCTATCAGGCTCTTTTATCCTGGGAATTTATTTTTCAATAATGGTACAAAAACCATATTGTATAGTATATGTGAATTCCCATGTAGTTGACATGAGGCAATGCCATATACTAGGATCCATTTTAGAGCATTTATAGAATGTTGCATTGGAGGGGAAACCTAGTGATATGTTTGGATTCCTTATGAGAATTGTTTTTTTATAATATAGTTGTACACAATTATTTAATTTCTAAATATCTTTTTATCAAATTGTAGGAATGCTAGGATGACATCCTATTATGTGAGTCATTAGTGCACTAATTTCAGGTTTAGTTCATTACATAGGATTAACAGTTTGGTGACTACTTGTTAATCCTAATTGGCTGCACTTAAGGGAATTAAGACGTTATACTTGGATCTCAACTCCTATAGATCATGAATGTGAGAGTACAAAATATGGTTCTCTATAAAAAGAGGTTAACCCCCCTCAAGTAAACAGAGAGAGAAGGATGGAAAATAGGTGAAAGAGATTCACCAAAGAGGATTCTCACGGTAACATGTCACCGGATGGCTTGGTCTATAGTTTTTGGTATAGAACCTTAAGTCCCTTGTATGATTTAAGTACAGATCTAAGTAAGTTGTTTGTTTATTGATAATTTTTTTTTATTGGGACTAATAATGGTATCAGAGCCGTCAAGTTGTAAATCGGCTTTCAAATACAACTTATTGGATCATCCTTTTTTCTAAATATTTTTTTGCATATATAATAAAGATCGATGCATATGGAAATTGTTTTTATGCCAATAATAATAAAATTGGTGCTATTTTTTTTAAGTCCTTTTATCACTTATAGTAATTTCCTTATACTACCCATAACAAGTTATTATAATACTATTTATTGCTCAAAATCAAATTCCTTATCAAGGGCATTTCCATCCATTTTAAACCCTTCCACTTTATACTTAAAAGGATAAGACGCCCCATCCAATAACTCCCGTGAAAAAAAAAAAAAAAAAGAAGGGAAAAACCTATTGCTCCTTTCCTCTCTTTCTCTTTAAGAATTTCGTTACAGAGGAGATTTTTTTTTTCTCCGATTTTTTTTGGGCAAAGATCCGACCCCAAATCTCTGTCAAAACTAGAGGCATAGTTTCCTACCCCATCTTCTCTCTCTTGATACATCAAAAGGGAGAGATTTTCTCCTCCTGTTTTGTTGACAAATAAAGATCCAAAAATCCTCTGCGATTTTGAGGATTCAAGGACGAAGAAAGAGGAGCGAAGGAGGTAAGTTTTTTCTGGTTTCATTCTATCTTTAATCTTCAACGGATGCTTTTTTTTTGTTTTTCAACGGCTTTGTTTTCTCTCTCTAGCAGTAACTCTATTGAGCCAAAGGATGCATCTTTTTCTCCTGTTTTCTTTTTTTGCACTGGCTATTTCAATGGGGAAAGGTTTGTTTTCTTTCAGTTTTTTTTTTTACGAGTTCGCCCAATTTTTGAATATGAGGAAAGAGAAGAAGCATAAAAATGGGACTTTATTGTTTGACACCTATGGCTGTTGTCCGGACAATTAAGCATAGATCATGGCCCCCAAAATTTGGTAACTGGCATCCATGACCAACGCTAAGTTTTTTTTTTAATTTTCTTCCTTTTTTTGGCTGTTGTGGTGCACGACAAAAGAATGGGCTAGACCCTTCAATGTTATCAGTCTTTCAATTCATATTTTTCCCCTTTTTAAGATACTGTGTATTCTCCTCCCTTGCTCATATATATGATTTTATTGCTGTTTATTAACCTGTGATATCTTTTTATTTATTATCCTTTTTCTGTATTTCTTCTTTCCCAAATCTTGAGAGACACGATTATCTACTGGAACCCCATATACTGCTGTTTGTTTGCAATTTGGGTATAATCTGATGAGAAGGGCTGGAAGAATTATTGATTGAGCTGGATTTGCATCGTGGCTTCTTCAATTTACTGGTTGTTGCAAATATTTTCTTCTTTTTGAGCTCTTTTCTTGATAGTCCATACTATCACTGCGGTGAGAGCGCAGCTATAAACTAGATTTAATTTTTTCTTGGTCTGTAATTTTTTATTATTCATGGATCAACAGCTAAAGTTGAAGATAGAAGGACTCAATGGGCTAAATTATAATACGTGGAAAAGAAGATTAGCTTTGATCTTAAAGCATGAAAAGTTAGATCATAGTATTTCAATTGTAGTTCCTACTGAGCCCACTGATGTTAGCAATAGGGCAGGAAGATCAGCTTATGCTATTTGGGAAAAAGAAATAAGAGGTGTAGGAACATAATTTTGAGAAATATGGATGATGAATTATTATTGAGCTTTGATGAATTTAAAAGTGCCAAAGATATTTATGATGAATTGCAGATACAATTTGGGGGACTTCAATGAATAATTTAAGAGTATTGACTCAAGAGAACTATTCTTTTAAGATGAAGGAAAATGATTGTGGTTGAACATGTTAGGAAAATGTGCTGGGTAAACAATTTATAAGTGTGGGTTATACTTTGAATGATCAACAACAAGTTGTAACTATACTGAATAGTTTGCCTAATTCTTGGGAATCTACTGTGACTACTTTATCTTTAAACCGCAAGGAACTTACGCTTCTAAATCTTGTTGTTGAATTGAAATCTAAAAGGGATCGTAGATCTTGATGGAGGGCTGATGCACTTCGCATTGCCCAAACTCAAAACCTTCGAAATGAAGAATCCTCTAACAAAAGAGAACTTTATCAACCTTGGAACAATAACAAAAAGCAGAGTGTTGAATATAAAAACAAGAACCCTATGCTCAATGGACTCAAGGGGACATGTTTCATTTGTGGGAAGATAGGACACTTTAAATCCCAATGCCCAAACAAGGGGGCACTCAAAACACCCAACCAAGGTCGTGACTACTTGTGTGTAATAGTTGATTGTTTAATAGCTAATGTGTCTATTGATGATTGGTGGGTGGACTCTGAGGCCACTAAAGACATATCTAGGTCTAGAGTGGGCTTTGTGGAACTTAAAACGCTTAAAGCTGGGGAACATGTCATCTCTATGGGCAATGATTCTAAGTCTGATGTTTTGGGCATTGACACTTATAAATTAGCCATTCTTAATGGGAATTTTTTGTTCCTTTCTGGCACTCTTTATGTTCCTTTAATGCGTTGTAACTTGCTTTCAGTGAGGAGGCTTGATGCTAAGGGATATGAAGTTCGTTTCAGGAATGGGAAAGTTTCTATTGGGATTAATAGGAAAATCATTGTACGGTGGAAAGATCGCGGGGATAGGTATTTGCTTGATAAAATAAATGAAATTTCATCTTCTTCTGATTACTTGAATGTGTGTGATGAAGAAGCTTCTTTTTTGTGGCATATGCATTTGGGTCATATTAGTAGAAATAGAATTTTTAGTCTTGTTAATGATGGCTTGATTCCTAAAATGAAGAATTTAGAATTTAAAAATTGTGAACCATGTTTATCTGGTAAAATGAGTAGAAAACCCTTTGGTAAAGCAACCAGATCGTATGATTTATTGTTTATTATTTATTCTGATATTTGTGGGCCACTTAATGGAAAAACACATAGCGATATGGAGTATTTTATTTCATTCATTGATGATTATTCGAGATTTGGTTATATTTATCTAATTAGTAAAAAATCTGACGCACTAGATATGGTCAAAGAATTTAAATTAGAAGTTGAAAACCAATTAGATAAAAGAATTAATCGGATTAACCCAAAACTGTACTCTCTTTCTCTATAGCAATACAAAAGTTAACATTTATAAAAAAAAAACAATTAGATAAAAGAATTAAAATCCTTATAACAGACCGAGGAGGGGAATATTGTTTTAATTTGCTTGATATTTTTTGTAAAGAAAATGGCATAATACACTATAAGACCATGCCCCTCACACCCCAACAAAATGGTGTTGTCGAAAGGCGTAACCGAACTCTTATGGAAAAGGTGCGATCAATGATGAGTCATGCTAACTTGTCCTTTATTTTTTGAGGTGAAGCATTGCATACTGCTATGTATATTTTAAACGAGTTCCCTCAAAATCAGTAGAGAAAACACCTTATGAATTATGGATTGGACATAAACCTCGATTGGAACATTTTAAAATTTGGGGTTGTGATGTTCATGTACTTATCCCGAGCCATGAGAGATCTAAGTTGCAGGCTAAAACTAGAAAATACTCATTCATAGGTTACTCTGATACTTCTAAGGGTTATAGGTTTTATGACCATGAGACCAAATCTTCGGTTGAATCTAGAGATGCGCATTTCTTATAAGAACATATGAAAATAGGCAAACTTTCTCTTATAGATATACATGAATTAGACAAAAACAAAGGAGTAAATGAAAACATAGAAAATTATGAACCTAATGTAGAAAATCTTGACAACTATATAGATAGTGGGAATGATACATTTGAACTTACTAATGTAGATTATAGTGAACTTAGGAGAAGTTCTAGGAACAGAAGAGCACCATATTATTTAGAACCATATCAGAGTTTTATTTGTATAGATACTTTAGACCAATACTATAACTTTACTTGTCATGATATTTCTGAACCTTTCAATTATAAAGAAGCTATTAATTCTAATGAATCTAATTTTTGGAATAATGCTATGAATGAAGAAATGGATTTTATAACTAAAAATCATATATGGGAGTTGGTAGATTTGCCTAGTGGGAGAAAACCTATTGGCTGCAAATGGATATTAAAAAGAAACTCAAGGCTGATGGTAGTATAGATAAATATAAGCACGACTTATTGCTAAAGAGTATAACCAAAATTAAGGTATAGATTTTGTTGATACTTTTTCTCTTGTAATAAGATTTCCTTCTGTTAGAATTTTGATGTCTATTGTGGCTAACTTTGATTTAGAATTGTTTCAAATGGACATTAAAATTGCATTTCTCAATGGAAATTTAAACGAAGAGATATACATGTTACAACCTGAAGGATATATTGTTGAAGGCAAAGAAAATAAAGTGTGCAAACTAATTAAATCACTATATGGATTGAAGCAATCTTCTAGACAATGATATTTAAAATTTCAAGATGCAATTATGAAACTTGGTTTTGTTTCTAATGAAAGTGATCATTGTATTTATATTAAGATTAGTGGGAGTAAGATAGTGATATTGGTTTTATATGTAGATGATATTTTGATTGCTGGAAATGACATGGATATGATTAATTAAACAAAATCATGGTTGAAATATAATTTTGAAATGAAAGATATGGGGATTGTATCATTTGTTTTAGGAATTGAAATTACAAGAGATAGATAAAAAAGGATGGTCAGCTTATCTCAAGAGCATTATTTAGAATCAGTTATTAAAAAGTTTAAAATGGATTTATGCAAGCCGGTCTCCACCCCTGTTGATAAAGCAATTAAATTATCCATTGATTTATGTCCTACTAATGACAATGATGTTATGAAAAATATTCCATATGCTCAAGTAATTGGGTGCATTAATTATGCTGTGTCATGCACTAAGCCAGATCTATGTTTCGCTGATGGACTTGTTAGCAGGTATCAAAGAAACCCCAGAATGATACACTGGCAAGTAGTAAAAAAGATATGAAGATATATCCAAGGAACAAAGAAATACAAGTTGCACTATTAAGGTTTTTCCCTTAGACCTCAGGTTTACTTTGATGCAGATTGGAGTGGTGACTATGATGATAGTAAATCCACTTTGGGTTTCATTTTCATACTTGGTGGAGGTGTTGTATCATGGTGCAGTCAAAAAGAAGATTTTGTTGCTTTATCAACCATGGAAGTAGACTATGTGGCTTGCAGTTTAGTATCATAAGAAGTTGTTTGGTTGAGAAATTTCCTCATGGATTTAAAGTTGTAATGCATTGAAAATGGGCCTATAAACATGTTATGTGATAATCAAGTAGCCATTGCCGCTCTCAAGGATTAAAAAATAAACTCTAAATCCAAGCACATTCGCAGGAGGTACCACTATATTCGAGATGTAATGGAATAAGAAGTTATAACAGTTGATTATATACCTTCAAATGGGATGATTAGAGATCCATTGATTAAGGCTTTGAGTCGGAATATTCGAGAAACATATAGCAGCTATGGGAATGAGATAAGTCTAAATGGAAATCCAATAATGGTGCATAAAATCATATTGATGGGTATATGGAAATCCCATGTAGAAAACATGAGGCAATGCCATGTACAAGATGTCAAAGAGCCTTCAGGCTGGGTATATGAAAATCTCATGTAGAAAACATGAGGCAATGCCATGTACAAGAAGTTAAAGGGCCTTCGGGCCAAGTGGGAGATGTTGGAAATGTGGCGTATCGGGCTTTTTTTATCCCGGGAATTTATTTTTCAATAATAGTAAAAAAACCATATTGTATAGTAGATGTGAAATCCCATGTGGTTGATATGAGGCAATGCCGTATATTAGGATCCATTTTAGAGCTTTTATAGGATGTTGCATTGGAGGGAAAACCCAGTGATATGTTTGGATTCCTTGGAAGAATTGTTTTTTTCTATAATATAGTTGTACAAAACTATTTAATTTCTAAATATCTTTTTATGAAATTGTAGGAATGTTAGGATGACATCCTATTATGTGAGTCATTAGTCAACTAATGACAGGTTTAGCTCATTACATAGGATTAACAGTTTGGTGACAACTTGTTAATCCTAATTGGCTGCACTGAAGGGAGTTAAGGCAGGAGTTATACTTGTATCTCAACTCCTATAAACCATGAATGTGAGAGTTACAAAATATGGTTCTCTATATAAAGAGGTTAAACCCTCAAGTAAACAAAGAGAGAAGGATGGAAAATAGGTGAAAGAGATTCACCAAAGATGACTCTTAAGGTAACATGTCACTAGATGGATTGGTCTATAGGTTTTGGTATGGAACCTTAAGTCGCTCGTGTGATTTAAGGACAGATCCAAATAAGTTGTTTGTTTATTTATTTATTTATTGATATTTTTTTTATTAGGACTAATAGGTTTTCGGCCACCAAAGAAGGGCGGGGGGTCTCTAGAGCCGATATCTTCCTCAACCTAAAACTTCTAGTCTTCTCCTTTGTGCCTACGAACAGGTGGTCTCCTTTTGGGTGTCCCCACCTTTGAACTCTTGTAAGCTTAATTTTGAGGGAGTTCTCAAGGAAACCCGGGACTAGCTGGAGTTGGTAGCCTCCTTAGGGACCATATTGGAGCCATTATTTTCTCATTTGCTAGGCCTGCGGAACCACCATTGCTAACCAGGTTGAGATTGCTGCCCTCCTTCATGGTTTGTAGATCATTGTTAGCCAGCGCATCAAGGGAACTATCTTTGTTGAAGGGGACTCTCTCAATGTGGTCAAGTGGTGTTTACTAGAACAACGGATTCCGTGGCTCTTCATTCTTTGTGTTTGAAAATTATGGACTTGTGCTCCTGCTCGGGCCTTCGTGTTTATTTCTCCCACTTTTTTCGGGAAGCTAATGACTCTGCGGATCGCTTAGCCAAATTTGGAGTTTCTTTACCCTCCTTATCTATTTTTGATGCTCTGATACCAGCTTTGAAATTTATGCTTTTTAAGCACACAATCAATAAAAGTTCATAATCTTGTAAATTTTTTTTTTTTCATAGATATGCTCGATCCACATTTCTGGACACTATTTGGAGGTGAGCTTTACTTTGAATGTTTAGAGCCTAGGCTCTATACAAATCGCACCCAATATTAAAAAGGAAAGTATAGAATGAGACCATTTACTTTTGGTACAAGGTGAGACATTAATCTTGACCATTAGATGTGAAATTGGGTGGCTGTAATTATTTCATTGACCAAGCTCACACTTCAAGAGAAATTTTTTTGAACTTCGTGACACATCCAAGCTATCAAACTTCACATCAGATGGTTGTAAGTAATTGTGACCACCTTGTATCAAAGGTAAATGGTCTCATTGTATACAATCCCATATTAAAATAGTTGATAAATTAGATAAGTTGTGATAGTACACATTGAATTCCCACATTCCAAATTTCACGTGTACGAACTACGAACACACGTGGTATTCATTAAAAAATTCGCGCATGGATTACAATGCCCTTCGTGAAATTTACACTACTCCCATTTTATTCTTTTGAATAAAAAACAACCCGATATTTTTCTTATTTTACTCTCTAAGTCCCACTCCCTTAGAAGTTTTTACACAAATTTTACCCCCAAGTAGGGTCTTTTATTTTATGAGTCAAAGGGGGGCTTGGAAATTGGACATCTGAACTGATTTTTCAAGTTAAAGAGTAGTTTGGATCCCAGATAGGGGTCGTAACAGGTCGGGTCTGGGTCTAGGTTTAACCCAAACTCAGACCTGATCGATCCGATCCAAAAAAAAAAATAAAAAAAAAAATATATAAATATAAATATACATATTTCAATATTATGTTATTATATATGTGTATTATGTAAATATTACGACTAAAAATATATGGTTATATTCATTTAAGTATTATTTAAATACTATTTAAATATTACATATTATATATTATACAAATAATAACAGTATTCGGGCCGGGTCCACTTGCCCAAACCCAAATAGTGTTTGGGTCCAATATTTGGACCCGGACCCGACCTGCTGGGTCCAATTTTTGAACCCATACCCAAGCCCGAGTCGGTCCGATCATTGGATCCGGGTCCATTGCCATCCTTACTCCCACAACACAAACTAGTCTAAACTCAAAAATAAAAGACACAATGCAAGCGATTTTGAGGGAAAAGACTTGTCTTTTTTGTAGTGACATTAGGTGTCCAAACTGCTTTATGAATTTCATTATCTAAAACAAATAACATTATGGACTTTGGATGTCCAAACTGCTTTTTCTTGTCATTCTTCTAATAGGCTGTTCAAACATCCGAGTTAATTGCTCTTCCTTCCAAACCTCAAAGTGAATAGATAAATAACTTAAAATCCAAATTGGTCCCTTTAGAACTCCAAACCGCCTCAGTCTTTCACCTTTCTCGCAAACTCAATTCTCTCTCTTCCCTCTCTCATATGTTCACGGCTCTCACAAACTGCTCAAGCATGTTGTGATTTGTTTCTTTCTTATAAGATTAGGGTTTTCCATATGTCCTTTTACTGCAAGATTATGCAGTTTTTAGGGGTTTTTACCTATGTTTGTTAAATACAAGAGAAGCTATTAATTGCCAAGCAGTTGGCAATCATAAAAGTTATTTTGTTCTTTTTGTGTAATTGCATAGAATTTGTAAATGGGTTAGGTTATATGTTTTTGTTTTGCATGTTAATTGTCAAGAAATTTTGAGAATCATGTCTTCATATTATTTGTTTCTACTTTTGAATTTGGGCTTTCTTTATGTGTCATCCCTCTCTCAATTATTTGTCTTGTCTATTTGCATTTGTTGTATTTTTGCTATAGATAAATACTGGATGTTATTTCAAGACAATATCTTGTGAGCTATAATATTTTGGACAAGTATATTTTATCTTATTTTTAGAAAGAGCAGTTGGTTATTTTTACGGCATTGAAGAATAGAAAAGGACAATCATACTTAAATATAGGCACGTCATCTTCGCTTGTATTTTAATAACCAAATAGTGAAAAAGGTCTACGTGGAACATGCGAAGGGTGTAACTCACATGTGCATGAGCGCACACGCACGTGTGGATGCAATGCCGTTTGATTTGCACTTGCTCTTTGAACTTCTCATCGATGCGAGAGGTGCACATGTGGTGGTTAGGCTCAAGGCTCACTTACATTTTGCAAAGAAGAGCAATACCAGTGGTGGGACAAGGGGCAATCTCCGTTGGTGTCCCACAAACAACAATACTTCATTGATTACTATTGTGCCCCTACTCCACCATTGGAAGTAAAAATAGCTTTTGTTAAGCATGGTCGTCAGTTTTTTGGAACCTGAAGAGGCACCTTGAAACCATGTGATTGTTTGGTATGCAATTGTCTATCAGTTGCAGCTGGTGCCTGGTGTACCAGTTTGACGGTTGTAATGGAGAACTAAAGAGGAGCTACTCTTCGTCTAATAAGCGCATCGAACACTAAACGGTCACATTTGGTGAAGGCGAAAGGGCATTTTCCCTTACTATAAATAGGGAACGTTTTCCTCTCTATACTAGAAGTTATCTACTATTTTAGAATGGGTGCGGTTTGTATAGAGCCTAGGCTCTAAACAATCAAATTAGAGCCTACCTTCAAATAGTGTTGATGTTGATAGTTATAAAAACTAGATATTGGGTTTCCTATCTCGTGTATTACAAGATATTACAAGATATTAAGTTGCTTATATTGAGCTTCTTGTTTTGTGGGATTACTATTGTAGTGAGATTTGTTTCCTAAAAGACAAGAATTATAATTCTATAAATCTCTGGTAAACCAGATTAATCCTTATGAATGAAATAGTGGTTTACCATCCGTGAATGTAGGAACCATTGCCGAACCACGTATATGTTGTGTTGATCTATTTTCCTTTCTTCTCTATTTCTCTAATTACAACTTCAACATGGTATCAGAGCAGAAGTCTTGAGACCTATGTAGAAAATCACTACTGTCGATATATTCGGATTTTTCAAGGATCAATCTTCTATATACTCCAAAAACGGGCTCAGCGGATTCTTTTGGTTTGTTTTTCATTCATTGTTGCAAAGACGGAAAAGTTTCATAAGGCTCCAATTCCGTCAATCTCTTTTTAATCTCTTTGTTGCAAACCCCGCAAGTTACAACCTTGCAATTTATTTGTTGACGTCAATCTCTTTTGCAAGATCCTTGTTGCAATCTCTTGCAATTCTTTGTTGCAACCAAATAGTTGAGAGATATGTCAATCTCTTGCAATTTTTTTGTTGCAATTTCTTTGTTGCAAGTTGCAAAATCTTTGTCACAAAATCTTTGTGCAGTCCGTGCTTACGTAAATCCAGCAACTATTTGGCCTTTCTTTGCAACAAAAAGATGGTAATGGTTTTATTTTACTCTTGTGAGGAAAGGGATCTTGGCTCGTTGTGTTGCATTGGCATTATTATGTGGGCACTTGTGGTGCATTGGATTCTTATTGCAGCCATGGTTTTCTTTCAAAGGTTACGGGTTTGCTATTTCTACGGTTATTTTGTGAAGAAAACACAACCCAGAATTGAGATTTTGAGCATTCAAGACACTGGCAGTTTGGTCTGTAATTTTCATTGGGATCTTCGGTCGGCTCTGATTGAGGCGTCTTCTAATCTTTAATCGCCTTTCTATTGATTAGGTCAGTCTTATGGTTCTTGTTATCTCTATATACTAGCAAATTTAGAAAATAACTCTTAACATGAAACTTGTTATTGTTCATTTGAATGGACTTAATTATTTTGCTTGGTTGAAAGTTGTTTCTCGTTCTCTCTTTGGAAAATCTAAAGTTGGAAACATAACTAGAAAGAAAATCATAAATCTTGATTTCAAAACCTCTGAAGAAAGTGTTGAAAAATCTTCCATAGTTGCTAATAATAAGAAATATGAAACAAAAATGCCTCAAAATAATGCTAAAGGTAGAAGCCCTACCAATTATGGCGATGGTGGAAGGAGTCGTAGTAATAGTTGGGCTCAGATTTCAACCACTCAAACCTATCACTGTAACTGTGATCATTATCAGCAACTAAGTCACAACACTGGTTCTTCCTCCACACATGGTCGTTCTTCTTCATTATCCGATTTAGGTAACCTTTATACTTCTATGGCCTCCTGGGACAATTTTTATTGGATAATAGATTCAAGAGCCATAGGTCATATGACTGGTAACTTATAGTATCTATCCAACCTCAAAAATATTACAAATATGAACCCTATCATTCTTCTTCTTTATCAGATGCAGGTAACCTTTATACTTCTATGGCTTCCTGTAACAATTTTTCTTGGATAAAAGACTCAAGAGCCACAGATCATATGACTGGTAACTTATAGTATCTAGCCAACCTCAAAAATATTACAAATATGAACCCTGTGTCTATTGCTAATGGTTCATTGATTCTTGTCCATGGTGTTGGTAAGACCAATTCTTCTCCAAGTCTCATAACTCTGAAGTTCTGTTTATGCCATCATTTTCCTCTAATTTGATGTCTTTTATTAGAATTACTCAGAGCATGAATTGCAATGTTATTTTTTTCTCTTAACTTTGTGACTTTCCAAGAGCGGCCCACGGGGAGGAAGATTGGTGAAGGGTAATTGTCTCATGGGCTATACTTATTTAATCAGGAGAATAAAGCTTTAGTTGCCAGTAAAGATAATTATACGGAACTTTTTCTAATCCTAAAAAGAGGTAACAGGTAAGTTCCTAGTAAGTTACCTTTTTAACTTGTTTTTATTAAACATGAAACTGCTACACGAACAAGTAAGTTCCATCTTCTGGTACATCATAGGCTCACATTTTACTCATTTTAGGGCAATTCGGCTGGTGTCCTCACCAGTTCAGCCACCAGTCTGGTCCAAACAACACTAGGTTAAAGTATGCATCTTATTCATTGCCATTTATTTGTTGATATCTTTTTGAGAAAATTTATGTCTATATTCGCCTTTTTTTTACGTTATTGAATCTCATCGTTAATTTTTCTGTTATTATATCTGCACCCATTTTCTATCCGTTATTACGATAATACCTCGCCATTTTTCTAAAAACGACTAAATTGCCCACTTTCCAATGTTCAACATCTGAAAAATTGCAATTTAGCATCTCCCAATATTTTTGGATTTGAAAATCTGAAATTTATATGAAAAATAAATTCCTAATTTTGAAAATCTGAAAATTGCATTTTAGTATCCCAATAATTTTGGATTTTGAAAATCTGATATTTATTTGTAAATTAAATTTTTTTATTTTTAAAATCCGAAAATTGCATTTTAGCATCCTTTAACATTTTTGGATTTCAAAAAAATCCAAAATTTACTTTAAAATTAAAATTTTGGATTCTAAAAATCCTAAATTTGCATTTTCCAACAGAGGATCTTGAATTTTTGTTAAATTCGGATATAAAAAATTGAAAAAAAATTGTGAGGGAAACAATAAAAAAAAAAACCCACTACCCTCTCTCCCACTAATGTATTTGTATTGATTTTGGGTCTTCATGATCCAAAATATGGGCAATATTCGAACCACAAAATAAACAGGGTATAGATGTAAGAACAGTATGTTGTGGGTAAATTTTAAGCAACATTAAATAAAATGGATATTACATTATTTTCTTTTTATATTTTGGTTGACTTTTTTCTTGTTAGTCTTTTCTCATATCTAACTTTTTGTTGATCTATTAATGTTCATTCTTCTCTCATATCTAATTTTTTGTTGATATCATCATAAGAGCAAAATGGATGGTACATTAAGCAAAGCAGAAAATTATTGCAATTATTAATTGTTCTTAATATCTATGACCGTTTTCTAATTTAAGTTTTTAAGTAAAGTTCTCCTTTTCCCTCTCATGCTTCATTGATTTTGATTGGAATAATGTCCAGTATGTTGGCTGCTCTCATGCACTGTACCAGAGAAGGTAAGGCTTTGATATTTATCTATGTTGTGCTGAATTGATGGTACATAGTTCTGATCTATGTCTAATTTGATTCGTTTTTATGATAAAATTCAACACATTTGTGCTGTCTACAGCGACAGCAGATGTATGAGCTCGATGAACCAAATTTTATCACAATGTTATGTCATCAAATAGGGTCAAGCTTCTGTGATTATCGTTGCACACAATGCGCATCAATTTGCTACTTAATTGCACAGCCAGAACTCAATTAATTGAACCAAAAGTACTGCTGAAAACTAGTAATTGACTGTTTATCAGCAGCAATCAGCTGCAAGTTCACTAAAAACCGAGCCATCAAAATGGCTCCAAAATGTCCAAAAATAATTTTGCGGATTGAGCCTATTACTTGGACATTTAAATTGTTTAGATCAAGCTACTAAGACTTAATCAAACTTGATCATTTTTACTGCTGGAAATCAGCAGTAGAACTATTGCTGTCACCTTCTGGAACCCATAGCAATTGATCATTGGAAATGATGCATGCTGCTACTATTAAGTGTAGTTATAGTTAACTGTCACTATCAGTCAAACTAACTCATATTTCTCTCTTGAATTATTAATAAAAATATGATAATCTGTTCCTGCATCACAAGCATGTCGTTTGGATCAATATGAGCAGCATATGACTAAGTATTTTGATCACGAAGCAGTGATCTTACTGTTCACGGTAAACAGCAATCATGATGCTCATTAATGTCATAGTTTATCCACATAATTTATCTCAAACTCATTCTAAATGATTATCATAAGTTCTAAACAACATAATGAATCAAATAAACATAATTTGCATAGTTTTCATTGCTGAAAATTTTGTAATCAATCTAAAAACCAGCAACGTTGTTTATAGGCAACACTGCTTTGTGTTGCAGCAGAGTGTCGAGTTCAATTGATCACTGGTACTGCCTATTTTTGATGAAAATGGTCATCGATTAATCATCAAGACTTCATTATCAATGTTACTTAGAATTGTTATTCCACGTTATCTTTATTGCTACCCAATGCCCTTAATATAATCCTGGATTCTATAGGAATGGTGAACCAATTGAACCGAGCAATAAAAAGTGTTGCCTATCTTAAAGATGTGAAGGGAGAGAAATCCAAGTACACTAAGCCATATTCCTATGAAACAACAAAAACATCAGGAAACAATAACATGCCTTTTTCGATAAGGGCCATTAGCCACCATAATATTTCGAAGTCACAAGATATCCTTTAAAAATCCGTAACTTTAGAGCTAATTGGGAAATAGAATTAATTCGTGCAAAGTAATAATGAAATTGCTTTATTACATTTTTAAGAGGGGAGGGGGGGTTCTAAACCGTTCTCGTGCTTCATCTTTTGTGTGTGACCTATTAGATTCTCATATAATAAACTAATATTACCCCCCACTACAAAGTCTTCGATGTATGGATTAAACTGATTAAATACCAGTTCTCCAGGTTCGATAACTCACAGGTGGTACCAAACACTTCTTTCCAGGGTCCCTCTAAGTTTTAGATAAGCTACCAAACATAATATTTCTAGTGCAAGGAGCTAGGTCATCTAGCATCCAAGGGATAAGGAACTTCCTGTTTCTAATAACAGCCAGCTTCCAGTTGTCAAACATGCCCTAAAAGAACTATGTTATCCACTCTTTTGCAAATGGCTTAGAGAAAAGCAAGAAACCATGTGTTTCTCTCTTTTTGCACTCTCTCGCTACATCATTCTCTCTCTAAATACTTTTATGTGTATAAAATATTCAATAGTTTTTTTTGTTTGAAATTAACTGTTGCAATAAGTAAAAAGAAAAGATTACATTGTTCCATCGAGAGGGCGCACATGCCGGGCCTCCCGGCAAAAAATAGCCACCAAACAGGTAATATCTGTATTTTGATAAAATATTAAACAGTTAATATCTGTATTTTGATAAATTTCCCTATAAAAGAATTGCATGATACGCTCTTTGGCAAAAAGCTTAGCGCAAGTAAGCAACCCTTGTTTCTCTCTTTCTACACACTCTCTCTCGCTAAATAGTTTTTAATAATGTTATTGTTTACCATTTTTCAACTATTTCAAAAGATACTTTAAAATTAAATAAAAAACCTACCATATATAAAGCACGAGTTGGCTCGCACAACACACGGTAACGAAGAATAATATTAAGCAGGTTCGGATATAGATTCGGTCCTAATATATTATTTTTCTCATCATGATTTTATTAACTTTCTCTTTCTTGAAAGTCAATTTCTGATGCTTCTCCCGTGTTTTTCTCTCTTCTTACTGTTCCACAATTTTATGTTCATCCAAAGCTTATCTCTCCAACACTTTGAAAGGCATTGGGGGTATCAAGTTCTTCATGGTTGATACCGGGAGAGAGAAGGTTTGAAGGAGAATGTCATAACAATCAGGTAATTGCTTTTATTTTAACTCTTCCTTATATTTTTGGAAAGACTGGGGTTAAATTTTTGCAAGACATGGGTGTTTATTATTCATGATTGTCATTATTTTTTTATATAGGTTTCTTCTATCCAGTTAGGGTATGGAGAATTTAAAGTTAGGTTTTATTGGGAAAATCTTTGAATATTTACAAAATCTTTATTTTTTCCCCCAAAATTAGGTAATTTCATTAAACTAATTTACAATTATTTTTAAGGTTTCAAAAAACGCTAGGCCACCCCTAGGCGGCTGGTTTGGCAGCCAGCGCCTAGGTGGACTTCCGAAACCTCAGGCGCCTTGTAGTACAAATTCTTTATATATATACATATGTGTTGTCTAAATGCACATATATGCATATATTTGTGTCAATTCCATAATTTATTGCATCAAACATATCACATGTTAAGAACAAACCTGTTCAAAATTTTAAAATTCAAATCTTAGAAAATTAAAAAAAATAATTAAAAAGTCTAGTTTATGTATTAGTAGTAGTTGCTAACTCTCCATGTTCCATAATAACATGGACTCCAACTCTCCAACCTCCAATAGTACCCTAAAAATAATTCCAATGGGAAAAGAAAAGTTTAGGATGCTTCTTCAGACCACAAAAAATACTTTTGATTCTCATAAATAAGTATATCTAAGAGATTTAGGGCTAATGGAAGTGTTATTTTAATTTTGGGGGTTGAAAATAACCCCCATAATTTATTTAAACTTTTTTGGGGGCCACAATTACCCTTGTGCCCTTTTGGGCATCATTAAAAATTTCAAAACGGCCCATGGCCCTAGACTACCCCAGAATTGGGTGCTGGGTGCCTGCCTAGGTATAGCCGTCTAGAATGGGGCGCCTTGGCCTAGGTGTCCAGCTTGGGGTCTCTTAGGCGCCTAAGCACTGGGCGAACTGTTTTTTAGAACACTGGTGATTTTTCTATGAAATTAATGTTTCACAGCAGGACTTTTGATTTATGGTTTCTTTATTGAGATTAGGTTTCTTTACTGAGATTAGGGTTTCTTTACTGAGATTAGGGTTTCTTTGAAATTAAATTTTTCATGGCTTGAATTTAGGATTTTCCCAGAAAAATTATCATTATCTATGAAATTTCAAGGGTTATCCTTTACCGTTGTACAATTTCTATTATTTTATTTCATTTTTAATTAGTTACATAATTTTATTGAGGAATCACTTTATTTACACCAATTATATATTTATCTTTGATTTTTAAGGGTTTTCTTATGAAATTGAGTAATCTATTCATTCTATTTGGTAGTTTAGATTTTCCTATGATGTTACTCTGAAATTAAGATTTTTGAGTATCTTTTCAACAGGTCAGTTTATATTATTCACTTGTTGTTCAAGATGCCTATTTTCTAGGATTTTAGTGATTACATTGGTTTATGATTTTTCTAAGAATTTTGTGCTTATTTACATTAACAAATCTGTATTCTAGGATGTTACAAGAGGACAAAGTTGATTGTATAGATTTCTAAAACCAACTAATTCGTGAAAAAGAATAAGATGCGGTTTCATGCAATTTCCATCACAGTTACAATAAAGTTTTGGAATATGGTTGTTCATCAAGTTAGTCACATAAGTTTCGAATTTGCGATATATATGGATGTCTCATATATGCTCTAAATATACTCTCATAAGGATAAGTTGGATATACTGTTTACAAAGATTGGCTATGTACATGGTAACATTATAATGTAGGCTTAGTTATTGGTAATATGCATTCAAATTTTTGGTCTCGTTACTATGACTGAGTTCAAAGAATCATTCTCTTAAATTGGTTATACAATAACAATTAGCTTTAGATGGTGGATATAGATTGACTCATATGATATATGGAATATGGTTTCTTAGTGAATGTAGTTGCTAAACGTAAGTGACCAAAGTTTATCTATCATCTAATATCTCTGTACTTTATTTGTTTCCCCTTGAGATAGTGAATTATACATTCTCTGAACTATATGTGATTTTGATGATAGTGATGGTATATTGAGTTTTTCTGTCATTATGATGATATAAGAGATTTTGTGCATCTTTGAGTTCCATGTTGGAGCTCAGTACATATCTTACACTTTCTTAATTGAGTCTTGCGAAAATAGGTTAATGTCTTGAACGAAATCTTTGGTAATTTATATTTCCATGTGGTGGAAATTTTTTTTTTCTGTTTTTTGGTTAGGTACTCATCAATATTTATTTATTTTTTCCCAATCAAGGATTCTCGGGTATTGCAGAAAGAAAGGAAAAAGAACATTACAGTTATGCATCTCCTATATTAATTTATGGTGATTATTCTGCTATTTATAATAGATTTCTTTTACCTTCATATGATGCTTTCTCTATTCAGATTACATTCTTCATGGTTCACGCCAGATCGTTTTTGCTTCACGTTTATATTAATTCTATTCAGTTTTCATGCTACATGGTTTGTGCTAGATCTTCTTCGTTTCACATGTTATAATAAGTTGAGGGCCTTCTTGAGTTTATTTTTGGGGTTCAATCTTGGGTTAAATCTCAGTATGTATTATGGCTTTGCCTTCATTTTTCTACTCTATCATTTTTTTCTGTATTTTTCAAAGTTAATGTTTTAATATGGTTTCTATCAAATCCTTTCTTTTTAGTTTTCAATTTCTACAATTAGTTTTCAGTCCTTTCTTTTTCCTAGATTTTCCTCCTAAGTGTATTCAAATGTTGGGGTAGTAGGGGTCTTAATGGGGGGTAATGTTTTTAATTTTTGTATTCATTTCATTTCTATCTATTATCTAAATTGTGTATGAGAGAGAGAGAGAGAGAGAGAGAGAGAGAGAGAGAGAGAGAGAGAGAGAGAGAGTAGTAGTAGTAGTAGTAGTAGTAGTAGTAGTAGTAGTAGTAGTAGTAGTAGTAAGTAAGTAGTAGTATAGTAGTATAGTAGTAGTTAGTAGTAGTAGTACGTAGTACGTAGTACGTACGTTACGTTACGT